GGAAAGACCTAACAGAGTGGTTTGGTGTGGATAGGACTGACATAACTGATAATATCACCCAACGTGATTTAAATATATAAAATATTGCCTCGCAATTAAAAGTTATCTTTCGCTTTACATATCACTTTATAACTAATTTAAAGCAGCACACTTATTACGAATGATTCAACATTTCCCAATCTTCTTGACTTTTAGTGTGGAAAACCGTGACAATGAATCTCTATGGAAGATGAAGATATTTGTCTACATCATGTACACTTACATTTGTCATCCATTCTCTAATATGTCTGAAAGTGTAAGTGCTTGGTTATCCGTCTTCTTAGCAATAGAGCGTTATGTGGCGATGCGACATTGGCAATTTTCAAAACGATTCTTTACCACAAGCAATGTGCATAAACTAATTGCTTATATCCTGATCATATGCATAATTTCAAATTCTTTCTTCTTTGCTCATCAATCAATCAGAATTCAATATAATGATACTAAGTTGAAAATGAACTCCAAATATACTTCCTTTTATCATTCACAATATTATTTAATATTTACCTGGTGTAGATTTGTCACGATGCAAGTTGTACCGTTATTGTTTTTGTGCATTTCAAATTTTCTTCTTCTCTCCTTAGTCTCACAGCATAATAAACGAGTATTTGCGGGAAAAGACTCATCCACCCTAAGAGGGGCATGCAAAACAGAAGTCGTTAAATATGTATCTGTGTCTACAAGGGATAAGCAGAAAGAGACCCAAATAAATTCGTCCTTTCAATCTAAATGCCATGAAACGAGGCTAAATGTACAAAATACGGATTCACTAGAAAGCACAAATATCAAAAACACAGATGGTACAAATATTTCTGATTTTCAAATAATGGATAAAGAAAAGCAGCAAGATCAGGAAGAGGTAGCTTTTTTAATGAAGACAATACATAAACCTAAATCATTAAGCTTAAGTCTAGAAGAAGATTCAAAACATAAAAGACAAGAATTTCTCTGCCAAAAATTAAACACTCCAAATACAAGTAATCTGACACAAGCTACCCAGAGAAGACTTCGAGCACAAGCAAAGCTAACAATTCTTTTGATAGTATACATTCTTATCTTTCTTATTGGACAGATTCCAATAGCTTTTACCTACCATAAAATCTACAGATCATTTGGTTTTTGTACAAATATCAATACCTGTGCCAGCTATGATGTAACCAGAATGGCCACAAAGTGTCTGGCTGCACTCGCATTTTCTAGTACGTTTTTCGTCTATCTCCTTCTCAATTCTCATTATCGCGATTGTTTCAAAGAAGTATTTTGCAATTACAAGAATGCATTGGCAGAGAATCCCGATAACCTGATCAATGAAACAACTGTTTTTGCTACTAATTCCAATAAAAAGGCGCAACCAGCAGAAGAAGGCGTTCTATCATTTACATTTTTAAAAGGTGAATCTCATATGAATGCATCATGGAAAAACCGGTTTTTCCGATTACTACCATTTATATGCTCGACGTGTAAATGTGACCAAAGAAGTAAATGTTTCGATGGTTCTTGTTGCAGTAATGAGCGGAATCAGCATTCTCAAACTAGAATTTGTAACAAACACTAATTTCCCCTCCGAATATTGGCGAAGACATTCCATAGAGCATATGGGTTTGAGAAACTAATGATGCATTCAGGAATTCTATTTTTATATTCATATTTGTACAGCGAAATGCATTGAAATAAATAATATCAAATAAAGTGCTATGTGACCTGTTAAAATAATAACGACCATTTCATATCTTCCAAAATCCTTTGATGTGCTGTAATTTTATTATGTAATAGGATATATTGTTTGACCTATATGAAGCTCTTGAAGGTGGCATAGTTCTACTTAGTTCAGAGCAATATTTATTTTTAATTTACTTGTTTATAATACTGAGTTATAATTTAAAGGGCAATATGATGAGTACTTTTTAATAAGTTGGAGATATCGAAGTGAATTAAAGATTTTATATGGACTATTTATTATCATATACTTGTATGGCTGGTGGAAAGAAAACAAATCGTTTATAGTAATTGTGCTACTAATTGAAATATTCCTACTTTGCTTAAATGATTTCGAATACTGTGAATTAAACGTCTGCTTCAAATTCAGACATTTTTAAGAAAGTTTAGTAAGCATTTAATAGCTTTAAATAAACTGTGGGGTTTTGATCTTATATTTAATATATTAAATAAGTTATATTCGCATCTTTTCAAAACGATTTCGATTTATATACTTTTAAATCATTTACTTGTCCATATATGTCGTACGTAGCCATACTTATACAAATGTTTCAGCAGCTTCCTACTAAGCTTTAATATGGTCATATTCTTCAAATTTACTGCCGTAATTGAACCTTATATGATTTTTTTTCTGAACAGAAATGTAATAATTTTTGGTAGAGCATTGGAACGTCGTAACATGAAAATGTGTAAAAAAACAACCCAGTAAACTGTAAGAATAATAACTATTTTCAATAAATATAATTTTGGCTTAAGAAATATGGAAACAAATTGGTGGTTTACATGAGTAGTACTGACTGACAGCAATTATGGTCTGACGGTATGCAAAAGTACTATTAAGTTTATGTAATTTGTGCAATTATTTTAATCCCAACTTAAGAGTAATTTAAAATAAATAGCACAAGGTTGAGATTATTCGCACTAATTTATTTATTTATTTTAGACACTATATCTAAATAAGATAGAAAAGACGCTATTAAAAGAATAAGTAAAATTTAAACTTTTAAGAACTAAGTAATCTGTAATAAGCTAAATTAAAGGATTCACTTTGATGGCCTCATAGAAACAATATAATTGCATTATCCTCGGTCCACAGCTAGCAAACCACAGAAAGTAGGCCAATTTTTTCAGGCGGAAACATTACTGAAAATTGGATTAAGCCAGCATTCACAATATGGATATATTAGAGAGTATAGATACAAATTCTAAGTCCAAGTGTTATTTGTCTAAACTCTATACTTTATTCCCCAAAATGTATGTACTTATTTTAATAACATCTATATATACATATATAATATAATGATGTAAAAAAACGAAATTTAGAAAATAGTTGATTACGATATTCCTAACCAAAAGTGAATGTGTATCTGCTACTGTATATTCACAAAAGATCAAAAAATCAGTGTTGATCTATCTAGGTTTAATGAAATTTATATCATAATAAAGCATCTGAAAATCATTTAATTTGCATGGTTGAATAGTAGGATCAAGTGCTTTTTCTTCTAGTCATTGGAAACAGTCAGATATTTGTAGTATCAGAAATTTTTACCTAATATTTTGTCATTAATGCAGGATCAGGTCTTAAAATGGGATTTTAGTATATTCTAAAATGCCAAGATTATGAGACTGTAGCAATGAATAATGCTGTTGATAAAACGTAAGAAATATATGTAAAGTTTAATAAACTTTAATTCTGATTAGTTAGGAAAGTATATGGGGACAATGTGAGTCGTCACACATTATGGTAACAACGATGAATATAAGCAAACATCTAGCTAAATTTAGATTGAGTATTATGGTTCTTCGAAGGTATGAAGACCAAGATGGTGTTGCCGTTTGTGTGGTCGCAGTCTCCTTTCGTTGTATAAAAGTTGTTTGACCTTGTTTTCGCAACTTGGTCATAATGGTAGGAAGACCTATAGAAACGCACTTTGTCCTGAGTCCATTGTATGCATCCTCATTTCCAGAGTAGGACCGTGGAGGTGGTACATCTCCTGACGTTTCGCCGGCATCGTAGACGGCATCTTCAGTGAGTCTCGCCATTCGTAGCACCATATTACAACTCGTCAAAGAGACAAGTAAAGCCGATCCTTTGACCAAACCTGTGCT